TGCATAGCACCATCTCTGGTGCTGCTGCTAAGTCGCTTCAGTCATGTCCGACTCTGTGTGACCCCATAGACAGCAGCCCACCAGGCTCCCCCGTCCCTGGGATTCTCCAGGCAAGAACACAGGAGTGGGTTGCCATTTCCTTCTCCAATGTGTGAAAGTGAAAACTCTGTCATGTCCAACTCTTCGCGATCCCATGGACCGCAGCCCACCAGGCTTCTCTGTCCATGGGATTTTCCAGGCAAGAGTACTGGAGTGGGGTTGCCATTGCCTTCTCTGAGCACCATCTCTAGACTTAAGCAAATGGAGGAAATTCACAAATTTTACATGTACCTGAGCTTCTTCATGTGCATATTGTTCATTTTAATTGCACTGGAGAAATGTCAGATGTGGAAATGGCACCTAATATCCTGACATTAATGTACATGAATGCTTTGCAGAATGCAAATTTAAGGGACTGTACAGAGCAATGAGAATTGCTACATAGCAACAAGAGAAAGGATTTTGAAAGCCCATGTTCGCTTGGGACATATACTGTTGCAATAGAGATGTTTAGTAGTAAGTTTGTATGGAGACTTGAGCATCCTTTCTGTGAACTACCAATACTTTCTCTCTGGTTGGTTTGAAGCTGCTGTCTAGTAAAAGTGGAATCAGAAAACTATCCCCTCCTGGTGTTACGGATGGACCCACTGCACTGGGAGAGCTCAGTGTTAGGCTGTCCCAGTAGGTGAGTTAGCTAGGCCCCTTAAAGTAACAGTGCTCAACATTTTTAGTTTCAAGAGCCTGTACAAACTCTTAAAAATTACTCCATGTTCATTCACTCAGCCGTGTCCGACTCTTTGTGACCCTATGGACTATGACCCACCAGGCTTCTCTGTCCATGGGATTTTCCAGGCAAGAATACTGGAGTGGGTTGCTATTTCCTACTCCAAGGAATCTTTCCAACTCAGGGATCAAATCTGCATCTCCTGAGTCTCCTGCATCAGTAGGCAGGTTCTTTACCACTGAGCCACCTGGGAAGCTAAAACTTACTGAGGAGGTCCTAAAAGCTTACATATTAATTCACTTACAGATAATAATGATGAATGTGTTACACATTAGCATCAGAGCAGTGATACCATCACATGTCATATAGCAGCTGGAAAATTTCAATGTATGATCATGAGAGAATGAGAGAAAAAAAATCATATCTTAGTATCATTGTGAAAAGGATTTTGACCTCAAAGAACCCTGAAAGGATCTGAAAGAACCATGTGACTAAAAATTAAAGTGAGAGAGAGCAGGAGAGCCAGTGAGCCTGGAAGACCTCTTTCTAGATAGCAGGATAGCTTCTGATTTTCCTGTAAGAAAGTTTCTTGAAAGTGTCAAAGGCACAGTTTCAAACAAAGCTGTGTGTGTTGCCAGGTACACTGATAAGAGGGTGTGAAAGCTAGGTGAAAAATGTAGTCGGGACCTTGGCCATAAAAGCAGTTTACCAGCAGGAAAGCATGCTGAGAATTAGAGACATCATGCAACTCATGCCAGAGGTACAGAATAGCCCTGAATGTGCGCATCCCTACCCCCTCACCCCTGCGGACTGGAGAAGGCCTTGCTGAGAGGTCACCGAGACGGGGATACTCTGAGCCCACTTGCCCATAGCTTGGCTGATCCAGAGGCAGAAGGACAGTTGGAGGAGGAAGAAAGCTACTAAATATATAACAAGCTAAGTGGAGAAATTGATAACATAGTTCAAGATGATGCAGTCAAAATGGACAAGATTTAACTGGTGAGATTGCCTGTGTGCATACTTGGTCACGTCCGACTCTTTGTGACTCTGTGGACTGTAGCCCTTCAGACTTTTCCATCCGTGGAAATTTCCAGGCAGGAACAGGAGTGGGTTGCCACTTCCTTCTCCAGGGGATCCATGACCCAAGAATCGAACCCCTGATTCCTGCGTCCCCTGCTTTGTCAGGTGGATTCTTTATCACTGAGCCACCTGTGAAGCCCAAGATATAATTTGTTGGTCCTTTATTGGACTGGAACCTGGTGGTCTGGAGTCGACGATGAGAGAGTGAAAGAAGGAAAGAGGTTAATATTCCCTGGGTTTTGCAGCCGGCTTTCGCGCTCCAGGGAATCAGCCAGAAATAGATACATATATATAGAGAGAGAGAGAGAGAAAGAAAGAAAGAAAGACACAGGGACTGAAGCTCTGATGAAGCAAAGGTGTTTTAAGCAGCATGGTGTGGGCATATATACTGTTTTACAAGGTAGTTATTCTTAGCAAAGATAAAGATTAAAATCCCAGACTTACAAAACACAAGGCGATCCCTATTAAAGAGAGAAGAGGGTACTTATCACCATAATGAGAAACTAACAAAGGAAATGCCTGGATTCCTCAGCCCCAGGAAAGGCGTGCCTCTCCTCCTAATTCCTGAATATTCAGGAATTAATAAGGACCAAAGGATTCCTGACAGATCCAAAACTGCACACCAGAAGCCCCTTGTTAAATGCTTCCTGACAGTAATTAATTATAATTATGTTTCTGACAAGTGGCTTGAAAATCGAGAAGTGCTCTTTCCTTCCCCCCCCCTTTTTTTTCTTTTAATTTTTTTCCCCATTTATCTTTATTAGTTGGAGGCTAATTACTTTACAGTATTGTAGTGGTTTTTGCCATACATTGACATGAATCAGCCATGGATTTACATGTGTTCACCATCCTGAACCCCGCTCCCACCTCCCTCCCTATCCCATCCCACTGGGTCATCCCAGTGCACCAGCTCCAAGCACTTGTCTCATGCATCCAAGCTGGACTGGCGATCTATTGCACATTTGATAATATACATGTTTTGATGCTGTTCTCTCAGATCATCCCACCCTCACATTCTCCCATAGAGTCCAAAAGTCAGTTCTATACATCTGTGTCTCTTTTTCTGTCTTGCATATAGGGTTATCATCTAAATTTTATATATATGCGTTAGTATACTGCATTGGTGTTTATTTTTCTGGCTTACTTCACTGTATAATGGGCTCCAGTTTCATCCATCTCATTAGAACTGATTCAAATGTATTCTTTTAATGGCTGAGTAATATTCCATTGTGTATATGTACCACAGCTTTCTTATCCATTCGTTTCCTGATGGGCATCTAGGCTGCTTCCATGTCCTGGCTATTATAAACAGTGCTGCGATGAACACTGGGGTACATGTGTCTCTTTCAGTTCTGGTTTCCTTGGTGTGTATGCCCAGGAGTGGGGTGGTGCTGGGAAAACTGGTCAACCACTTGTAAACGAATGAAACTAGAACACTTTCTAACACCATACACAAAATAAACTGAAAATGGATTAAAGATCTAAATGTAAGACCAGAAACTATAAAACTCCTAGAGGAGAACATAGGCAAAACACTCTCCAACATAAATCACAGCAAGATCCTCTATGACCCACCTCCCAGAATATTGGAAATAAAAGCAAAAATAAATGAGACCTAATTAAACTTAAAAGCTTTTGCACAACAAAGGAAACTATAAGCAAGGTGAAAAGACAGCCTTCAGAATGGGAGAAAATAATAGCAAACGAAGAAACAGACAAAGGATTAATCCCCCCTTTTTTTATACTCTCAAATAATTTTCAGAAATAGTTCTTCTTCCCTCGACTACAGGTGGTAAATATCTTGATGTGCCCAAAGTTACATTTTTAAAAGTTAACTCCAATTTGAAGAAATTCAGATAAGCTGGAGTATGTTAGTTGACATTTCCCCAAAATTTCAGGTGTCAGGGCTAGCTGTGTTGTAATACCAAATGCTTATTTTTTCTGTTTCCTTTACGGCCTCGCAGCTCACAAAATGGAAAATGATTTTCTTGCCACTTTAGGCAGTCACATCCTGCCGGTTGTCTCCCATCTCCAGAGTCGTTAAGCTGCAAAAACACTCATCATCTGTTAATGGTGCCTCTGAATTATTCAGGGAAATTCTTAACCAATATAAACGGTGACTATACCATCCAATTCCTCCTTTTCACATTTCTGTCTCTTCCCCATAACTTTCAAACTCATGATCACTGTTAAAACATGCAGGGAGAATCAAATATTCAATTAGTTTTGTTGCACTTGAGCTTCAGACCAGTGATTAGATTGGAATTGGGATGTTTCCAGTAAAGAAGGCAGTGTGGCTATAATGGGTGTTCATTGGCAGGTAAGTGAAGCTGTCTAGTCTATGATCACCCGAGACAGGTTTTAGGGACTCCTGTTGGAATAGGGTCATCTTTCTTGTTTATTCTTCCTGGGGCTTCCCTCCGGGGTCTTGAGGCAAGTGTTTGTTTTCATCATCTGCGCCAAGCTGCCTCCTTGTTTGCAGAGTTTCTGGGTATTGTTGCTACATTCATCTCATCACCCCAACCAGAAGTCTCTCCCTTCCTCCCCTCCAGTCCTGACAGTCTCTATGTCCTGTCCAGCTCTTCTTCTGCATCCTCTTAGCATTTTACAGAGTTTCAGGATCTTTCTCCTGGTCTCTCTCAGCAACACTCACCCCTTTCAAATCTATCCTCTGTGAACACCAGAAGAACAAATAAATGGTCCCATGGATGGGGGAATACTTTGAAATGTGGTTTCTTTTCATTATAAGTGCTACTGAATGGTTAAACTCTTTAACCATACACTTGTAATACTTTGATGAAAGTGAATCAGTTCATCATTTTTGATAGCTCCAGTATAATCTCAAATAGATATTAAGATGACTGTGTTTTTCTTCATGTTTGAGATCCTATTACTTATGTAATTATCAGCCGAACCCATTATATATCCCTGTGCTTCTGCACATGCTGTTTGCTTCGCCAGAAATGCAGATTCTCTCAATATGGCCTTTGGTCATTGTGTCACAGTCTTCTTTGGAGTGAGTTTTACACAGGACCCGGGGCCCCATGGGCTTGGTTGTGGCCATCTGCCCAGCAGCGTTCCTCACAGATGAGGCAGGCTGATGAGCCACTGAGGTGGGCTAATTAAATCCTTTGGTTCTTCTGTTTGTTTCCCACAGCAGTCTGAACTGTCAGCTGAAGAAAGTCCAGAAAAGTTAGGAACCTCCCAACTACATCGGCGAAAAGTCACTTCCTTGAGCAAGCAGATTCTGCAGAAGACCAAGCAACTGGAAGAGGTTGGTGTCTTCTTTTCATAATTTCATTCAAGGAAAATAAAGCCATTCTTCAAGAAGCGTCAGGAAGATCAAAGGAGGCCGTGGAACAGGGAAGCGATGCGATCTGCCCTTGCACAATCCAGCCCCCACCTGTTTTTCTAAAGGCATGCATGCATGCCAGTCACTCAGTCATGTCCAACTCTTTGCGACTCCATGAATGGTAGCCTGCCAGTCTCCTCTGTCCATGGAGTTTTCCAGGCAAGAATCCTGGAGTGGGTTGTTGCCATTTCCTACATCAGGGATCTTCCCAACTCAGGGATTGAACCTATGTCTCCTGCATTGGCAGGCAAATTCTTTACCACTGATCCGCCTGGGAAGCCTGTTTCTGTAAATATTAATAGTTTTATTGAAATTATGCATATGCACTTGTTTACATATTTTCTGTGGCTACTTTTCAAGCCTCAGTGGGAGAATTGAGACTACAAAACCTTAAATATTTTTCCACCTGGTCTTTACAGAGAACATTTCCCAACCTCTGTTCTAAAAGAAGATCACAGGGCAAGAAGAACATTAATTAATTCACACAGATTAGCTGAGCACCACTGTGCTGAGCACTGAAACAGGCCATGGTGGTGAAAGAAAGAAGATCTCTGCTCTCATGGTCTGGAGGTAGTGATAGAAAGACATAGGCCATCGTTCTTTTCTGTCTTTATCAATTTAAATGCTTCAGCCGCCTTTTTTTAGATTATAGGGATAATCCAAGTTCCATGTAAATAAACCAGCTACTATGGAACTGTATGAAGCTAAAAATGAGACTCTCCTGGCACTCATCCAGTCCCACTCCTTAAAGCAACCCATTTTTCTAGGCTTTACAAGCTCTTAAATATGCTCATTCAGCTGGGTAAGGGGGGTTGTTTGGTTATAAAAACTGAGTTTGGTTTTCACTTATTTTATCACATAATAGTAATAGTAATGGAGACGGAAATGGCAACCCACTCCAGTGTTCTTGCCTAGAGAATCCGAGGGACGGGGGAGCCTGGTGGGCTGCCGTCTATGGGGTCGCACAGAGTCGGACACGACTGAAGCGACTTAGCGGCAGCAGTAATAGTAATGACTAAAAAGGACTTTTTAGAGTAACTACAAGGTGCTTTTCATAATTAACTCATTCAATTCACATAACATCCTTATGGAGGAGGTACTATTATTCTCATTTACAAGGAACCTGAGACACAGAGAGAAGTGAAGTAGTCTTGCCTGGGGTCACACAGCTTGTTAGTAGTGGAGCCAAGACTGGAGCATATAGCTCTACCTCATTCTTTCTGATGCTGCCTAGTGTGACATAGTATATATGTGCTATGGCTTATTTAGCCTGTTCCTCTATTCATAAAGGTTTTTTCCCAAGATTTTTTTTCCCAGTTCTAAGTTTATGCTATGATGAACATCTTTGTACAGTCATATTTGTGCAAATACATAAATATTTCTGTAAAATGGATTTTAGGACGTGAAACTGCTGGATCAAAAAATATATGCATTTTCAGTTTTTCTAGAAACTGTCAAATTATTCACCAATTATTTTACTAGTTTACACTTCTACACAGAATAGTATATGAGAAAATCCAGACTCTTTAAATCCAAGATGATCTCCTGTAAGGTCATGTAGATCGAAGGCAACTGGGATACACCGCAGCCTTAGTGGGAGCCACAGAGCCTTAGCCCACAGAGAGCTGGGAGGAGGAGTACGATAAGGGGAGGAATGAAGAACATCTCATGGCCCAACAGGGGGATGTGCTGTAAGGGCAGAGAACAGGAAGGCAACTAGTAGCTAACTGACAAGAAACCTGAGATTGAGGAAGGAGGAACCAAAGGATGTGTTAACCAGTGGGCTAAGTGTTGGGGGGTCAGTATAGGGTTTCATGGTGAATAAGAAGATGGGGGTGGGAGAATCATGGAAGACTCCAGCAAGGCAGAAACTTAGCTAAGCTACTGGGACAGTTCCTGTTAGAGAAAAGATGAAGAAAGCTCTTATTAGTTTAGTTAAATTAAAGAGAAGAGGAAAGTCTTCCCTTTAGCAAGTTCCTACTTCCCTGCCAGGATCCAGCCCCCATGGGTCTTTGTTGGTGAAGCCTTCCTTGATGAGCAAGCTGACTCTTTCCTTGGCTTCCCCAGGCCTGTCTCTGACCAAGCTCTTCTCATACTTTAACCCTCAGCTTACTAGTTTAGCAACTTGAGGGGCAAGGTTTGTGCTGTGTTCTTTGTCTTCTCCCGCACACCTCATTTGAGCAGAGCCTTGGGTAAATGTCAGACGGGTGGGTGGGTACAAGGTTGGGGGGTGGTACAGAAAGGTGGGTGAAACAGGTGGGAAATGGAAGGATCTCCTCCTGGAGCTTCAAGAGTTAAACCATTAGGATTTCAAGAGAAAAACAAACTTTCTCCAGAAATACTCTCATCCACCAGTGATACCGATAGTTTAATAGGAGTCTTCAGTGCGCACATGGCTCCCTTTGCAAAGTGAGAGGCCAAAGCTCCCAGCTTTCCCTACGTTTATCTTTTCTGCCCTCTGCTTGCGGTGACTTCCTGAGATGCCTGGCTGGAAACACATCAGTCATGAAGACTGGTAACTCGAAGCATGATTTAGGAGTAATGATGATGTAGGTAATGTAATTCTAATTACATCTGTAGGTGATGTAATTCTAATAGGTTGCTTACAGGCTCAAACATGGGCCAAGTTGAAAATTCCCTGGAAGTCCAGTGGGTAGGACTCTTTGCTCTATCTTCTGGGGCCTGGGTTCAATCCCTAGTTGGGGAACTAAGGTCTCACAAGTGGTATGGCGCAGTCAGTAAATAAATGAATATATATTTTTTAATGAGCTGAGTTATTTTGAAATAATTGTTGAGACATAAGATATAATTTCTCATTGTTAATTTGTATGCAGGTAACAGACGAAGTGTCTGATTAGTCTAACTGTGGTTTTCTACCACATCCCCTTTTCAAAAGTAGAAATGTACAACCCTTTGAGCTTTGAATAGAATATTTTCAGATATCTAAAAGTTCATAGACAGCATGGGATACACCTTTTTGGTAAAGAAAAGGGAAATGACATTTTTGAGATGTAAGTTATAATTGTATAATTTTGTGCAGTAAAAGTAATTCACCTTCTTTCTATTCATTGAAGTCCTGACTCCTTTCTCCAATCTGGCATTGTTTGCCTTCCGGTCAGATTTTATGCTAGGGCTTCCCAGGTGGCACGGTGGTAGAGAATCCCCCTGCCAGTGCAGGAGACATGAGAGATGCGGAGTCAGTCTCTGGCTTGGGAAAATCCCCTGGAGTATGAAATGGTAACTCACTCCAGTGTTCTTGCCTGGGAAATCCCATGGACAGAGGAGCCTGGCAGGCTGCAGTTCATGGGGTCGCAAAGAGTCGCATGCTGAGCAGCTGAGCATGCACACACAAATTTTGTGTTAGATTCTTGAGTGCTTCAGTGCAGTTTGTATCCTATGAACCAGCAAGTTCATTAACTGAATTGATTGTAGCCATGTAGTAAAGTCAGACCTGAATTTGAATCTAAGCTTTATCAGTTACAAACTATGAAACTTTAGTGATTTACCCCTGAATCTTTACGTTCTCATCTGTTAAATAAGAATAATGTCTTTTTCCATTGAATGTAAGAATTCTTTGTTAGGATTCATGCAGAATACCTAGTACATCACCTGACACATGGTTGGTGCTAATTGAATCTAAAATGTCCACATTTGCTCAGCTTAAATCTTTCTGAGTTTCCATTGTCTCATCTGTGAAATGTAGATACCACCAGTATCTGTGCTGTCGTGAGAATCAAATGAGAGCAGATGTCTTTATCTTTCATTTACAGCTGCAGGCAAGTCGTACTGACCTACAAGCCAAATATGAAGGAAAAAAGAAAACCCTGACCGAGGTGAGCAGATTTCCTTCCTCCATGGGTCTTGTTGGGAATTGTTTGACATGTACTACCAACGGGACACTCACATCATCAGTCCATGTGGAGGGGTCACGATCTCTTTCTCAGGGCTCAGGTCCATCTGGACAAAGGACAGTCACACAGTAGCATGTCTCTAGCCATGTTTATCCATGCTACCATGTTTTAAACCATGAGGGTCTTGAGTGGAGGGGAAGATTGTTGTGAGCTGCAAGGGTCAGGAAAGCTTCCTGAGGACAGAGGGCCTGACAAGCAGGGTGGCCATATGAAAGAACACAGAGGATCATTCACGGTAAATGACCCCTGCTCCCCAAGCCACAGGCTGGAGAAAGTAGCAGAACACTGGATTCCTGGAGAGTGAGGTTTCTTTTTATAAAATGACAAAACTACAGAGGATATAATTTGTTGTTTAGAATTGCCAGTGATCTCCTGGTAGAATGGGGGAGGGAATCTCTGGAGGAAAAGGGATTTGTAAGTCTGTTTTGACCCCATGATCCATTTCCTAACCCAGATTGCAATGGTGCTGTCCTCCACAGCATAGCTTACCCACCACTTCCAATTACCTAGGAAACCAGGCGAGGAAAGCAAATACACAAGGTACTCTGGCATGAGGGAAGTTTAGGTCTTTCTATTTCTGTCCCTGTTTCTACATAAAGCTAGTCCTCATCTGGGTCTGAAAAGCTCTCTTCCCTGTGACTTTGGTGCTCAGGCGACAGCTGTCCCTGCGAGGTCCCCACCTAGTACTTTCTGGACCATGTGGAAATGGGACTGATCTTCAGAGACATTTCTGAAGCCAAGACAGTCGCTATTTTTTTATTTTTTTAATTTCACATGAAATCGACACTTTTGAAATGGTAATTTCTCTAGCATTGTGCAGCGCTTAGTTCTCTGCCTTGTTATAAACCTGACAAAGCTTTGTAATTCTGACCTGGACTGGTCTCTTCAGTTACTGTCAGAATGTTTGAGAAGGACAGGCATGCGGATGACAAATTAGAGAAGTTTTTTAAAATTCTAAAGATGCCCATGTTGCATTTGGACACATCAGCTTTCTTCACGCTGTTCTGCGGCTCCACTGCTTTCGATCAGGTGGCAAGCTCCTTGGTGGAACCCCTGCCGCTGTCCTCCTGTGCACACTCCACAGTCCTGGCTTAAAGGGTGCCAAGTCATAGACCCGTCTTTGTATAACAGTCTGGAAGACATTCAAGGCAGAACTTCTTGATAAAATCCTAAGTGGCTGTCAAGTCACTTTTGGTATTAAACACTGAATCAAATATTTTTTGAGCTTTAGTTTCTAGGCTCTTCCAAGATTCCTAGCTCTCAGTGTTTCTATTTACTTTCTAAGGGCTCGTGGCTCAGGCTGTGGGCAGGGCAGTGGTTTCTACTGAGTCAGAGATCTCCACTGTGTTCTTGTATACTGGCTTTTGGAACTCAAGTAAAGGCCCTTTCATTTTGGGTGAAATTGCTCTTGGTAGGTTGAATCTAAGCTGGTCTTTGGAGAGAGATCAAGCCCTGAGCCTTTGGAGTGGAGCAGTGACTCTAAGACCCTAGACTACCAGAGAACTAACCCTAGGGAGTATCAAATGGTGAGAACTCACACAAAGGAAACCACTTGAATATAAGAGCCGGCATCACCCAACCACAGTAGCACCCTGTGCAGGCCGCCTCATCTAAACAACAAACAAAACAAAAATACAAGCCATATCATCAGCTGACAGGATCACCACCTCACTCTGCCTTGCCCATCAGAGGAAAAACAAAAATTCAGCACAAATCTCACCCTGTACGAAGCTTACACAAACCACTGGACCAACCTTAGGAGGGCAAAAACCAAAAGAAACAAAGAATTCAACCTTGAAGCCTGGGAAAAGAAGACCTCAAACACAATCAGTTAAAAAAAATAATAATGAAAAGGCAGAGAAATACTACCCAAATAAAGGAACAAACTAGAAACACAGAAGTCTAAATAAATGAAGAGGAAATAGGCAAACTACCTGAAAAAGAATTCAGAACAATGATAGTAAAGATGATCAAAAACCTTGAAAACAAAATGGAGAAAATTCAAGAATCAATTAACAAAGACCAAGAAGAATTAAAGAATAAACATGCAGAGACAAACAACACAATTAATGAAATTAAAAATACTCTAGAAGGAATCAGTAGCAGAATATCTGAAGCAGAAGAATGAATCATTAAGCTGGAAGATAAAATGGGGGAAATAACTTCTGAAGAGCAGAATAAAGTAAGAAGAATGAAAAGAACTGAGGATAGTCTCAGAGACCTCTGGGACAATATCACACGCACCAACATTCGAATTATAGGGGTCCCAGAAGAAGAGGAGAAAAAGAAAGGGTATGAGAAAACTTTTGAAGAGATAGTTGAAAATTTCCCCAACATGGAAAAGGAAATAGTCAAGTCCAAGAGGCACAAAGAGTCCCATACAGGATAAACCCAAATAGAAACACACCAAGACACATAAACTGATAAAGACTAAACACAAAGAAAGAGCATTAAAATCATCAAGGGAGAAGCAACAAGTAACATACGAGGGAAACCCCATATGCTTACCAGCTGATCTTTCAGTAGAAACTCTGCAGGCCAGAAGGGAAAGGCAGGATATATTTAAAGTATTGAGAGGGAAACATCTACAACCAAGATTACAGTTCCTGGCAAGGATATCATTCAAAATTGATGGAGAAATAAAATCTTTTCAGATAAGCAAAAGTTAAGACAGTTCAGTACCACCAAAGCAGGTTTACAGCAAATGTTAAACGGGCTTATATAGCCAAGAAATACAAGAGAAGAAGAAAGATCTACACCATGATCAAGTTGGGCTTACTCCAGGAATGCAAGGATTCTTCAATATATGCAAATCAATCAATGTGATACACTGTATTAACAAGTTGAAAGATAGAAACCACATGATAATATCAACAGATGCAGAAAAAGCCTTTGACAAAATTCAGCACCCACTTATGATTAAAACTCTTCAGAAAATGGGCTTAGAAGGAGCCTACCTCAACATAGTAAAGGCTATATATGATAAGCCTACAGCAAACATTATTCTCGATGAAAAACTGAAAGCATTCCCCCTAAGATCAGAAACAAGACAAGGGTGTCCACTTTCACCAGTATTATGAAACATAGTTCTGGAAGTCCTAGCAACAGCAGTCAGAGAAGAAAAAGAAAGAAAAGAAATCCAGATCAGAAAAGAAGAAGTAAAGCTCTCACTGTTTGCAGATGACATGATGCTGTACATAGAAAACCCTAAAAATAGTAACGGAAAATTACTAGAGCTAATCAGTGAATTTAGCAAAGTTGCAGGATATAAAATCAATACACAGAAATCACTTCCATTTCTATATAATAACAATGAAAAATCAGAGAAATTAAGGAGTCAATCCCATTCACCATTGCAACAAAAAGAATAAAGTGTCTAGGAATAAACTTACCTAAGGAGAAAAAAGAACTGTGCACAGAAAATTATAAGACATTAATGAAAGAAATCAAAGATGACATAAACAGATGGAGAGATACTCCATGTTTCTTGATAGGAGGAATCAATATTGTAAAAATAACATATTACCAAATGCAATCTACAGATTCAGCGCTACCCATATCAAATTACCAAAGGCATTTTTCACAGAACTAGAACAAAAAATTTCACAGTTCGTATGGAAACACAAAAGACCCCGAGTAGCCAAAGCAGTCCTGAGAAAGAAGACTGGAGCTGGAGGAATCCACCTTCCTGATATCAGACTGTACTGCAAAGCTGCAGTCAGCAAGACTGTACGGTGCTGGCACAGAAACAGAAACAGAGCAGTGGAACAGGATGGAAAGCCCAGAAATAAACCCTTGTACCTGTGGGTACCTTAGTTTTGACAAAGGAGTCAAGAATATAAAATGGGGCAAAGACAGCCTCTTCAATAAATGATGCTGGGAAAACTGGACAGCTGCATGTGAAAGAACAAACTTGGGACACTTCCTAACACCATACACAAAGATAAACTCCAAATGGATTAGCTAAATGTAAGACCAGAAACTATAAAACTCTTAGAGGAAAACGTAGGCAGAACAATCGATGACATAAATCAAAGCAATATCCTCTATGCCCCACCTCCTAGAATAATAGAAATAAAAACAAAAGTAAACAAGTGGGACCTGATTAAACTTAAAAGCTTTTGCACAGCAAAGGAAACTATAAGCAAGGTGAAAAGACAACCCTCAGAATGGGAGGAAATAATAGAAAATGAAACAACTGACAAAGGATTAATTTCCAAAATATATAAGCAGCTCATACAACTCAATACCAGAAAAACAAACAACCCAATCAAAAAGTGGGAAAAAGACCTAAACAGACATTTCTCCAAAGAAGACATACAGATGGCTAACAAACACATGAAAAGATGGTCAACATCACTCATTATTCAGTTCAGTTCAGTCGCTCAGTCGTGTCTGACTCTTTGCGACCCCATGAATCGCAGCACGCCAGGCCTCCCTGTCAATCACCAACTCCCGGAGTTTACTCAAACCCATGTCCATCAAGTTGGTGATGCCATCCAACCATCTCATCCTCTGCCGTCTCCTTTTCCTCCTGCCCCCAGTCCGTCCCAGCATCAGGGTCTTTTTCCAATGAGTCAATTCTTCACATGAGGTGGCCAAAGTACTGGAGTTTCAGCTTCAGCATCAGTCCTTCCAGTGAATCCAGGACTGATCTCTTTTAGGATGGACTGGTTGGCTCTCCTTGGAGTCCAAGGGGTTCTCAAGAGTCTTCTCCAACACCGTAGTTCAAAAACATCATGCGAATCAAAACTACAATGAGATATCACTTCACACCGGTCAGGATGGCTATCATCAAAAAATCTACAAACAATAAATGCTGGAGAGGATGTGGAGAAGAAGGAACACTCTTGCACTGTTGGTGGGAATATAAATTGATAACAGTCAGTCTGGAAGACAGTATGGAGATTCCTTAAAAAACTGGGAATAAAACCAGCATATGACCCAGCAATCCCACTCCTTGGCATATACCCTAAGGAAACCAAAATTGAAAGAGACACGTGTATCCCATTATTCATTGCAGCACTATTTACAATAGCTAGAACATGGAAGCAACCTAGATGCCCATTGACAGATGAATGGATAAAGAATTGAGGTACATATACACAATGGAATATTACTCAGCCATAAAAAGGAATGCACTTGAGTCAGTTCTAATGAGGTGGATGAAACTAGAGCCCATTATACAGAGTGAAGTAAGTCAGAAAGAGAAATACTGTATTCTAACACATGTATACAGAATCTAGAATAATGGTACTGAAGAATTTATTCTCAGGGCAGCAATGGAGAAATGGACATAGAGAATAGACTTACGGACATGGGGAGAGGAGAGGAGAGGAGAGGGTGAGATGTATGGAAAGAATAACATGAAACTTATATTGCCATATGTAAAATAGATAGCCCGTGGAAATTTGCTCTATGGCTCGGGAGACTCAAACACGGGCTCTGTATCAATCTAGATGGATGGCATGGGGCAGGAGATGAGAGGGAGTTTCAAAATGGAGGGGATATATATATACCTATGGCTGATTCATGTTGAGGTTTGACAGAAAACAAAATTCTGCAAAGCAATTATCCTTCAATTAAAAAAATTTAAAAAATTTTTTGTATCCTTGCATGTGCTAGAAAGGTGGAAGTTTAGAATTAAGCTAATAATAGGAGATACTATCCCTGTCCCCACATGATAGTAGCAGCCAACACTGTGATGTTCTGGCTGTGCTGTGGGCACGTCGTTTGTGTTATCATTGAATCATCCTGTCAACTCTGGCAGCACACCTCTGCTGTGCTGCTGGAGAAACTGAGGCAGAAAGGCCGTGCAGATTCCAGTGCTAGGGACCTGGCCCCATGACCTCTCAGGGAGCTTGCCATTTAGTCAGGCAGTCAAACTAATTCTTACCTAGAAATATGGGAGGCTGTGCTGAACAATGTAGGAAGAAGCCTGATTTGGTCAAAATACTGAAGACCCTGAATCAGTAATGAGCTCTGCCTTTGGGCCTTGGTCTCCTTGTCTGTTCCAGGAAGGACTGGGCACATGAGCACTCTGAGCCCTTCCATGCCAGTCTGCCAGGTTTTACCTCTTCAGCAAAACCTAGTGGCACTGGAAATCAGGGGCGACCTGCCTTCCCTGGAAACTTAGGAAAATAAAGCAGGGTGTGGAAGGTAGAGGGTGGATGGCAGCCCTGACGTGTGGGCCCCTGCATCAGCGGGTTCCCTTCTCGCCTGTGCGCTTTTTAATTTTAGCAGTCACAACTTTAATTTCTTATGTGGAGGTTGATTCCTTTTTGTATATGGAGGATCCTCTCCAGCCCAAGGGCACTGACTGTGTCTAAAGTTTTCCTTAACCTACAAACTATCCGCTCAGATCAGGATCCATTTGTTGAGTTGATGCCATTTTTACAGTTTTGTCTTTCTTCAAATACGTGATCATTCTTGATGGTGTGCTTACTTGTGATTCTGAAATTTTCTGTTATCAGCTGTGTGGATTCTGTATTCATTTTATGCAGCATGCTTCACGTAACTGTTTTGGAAGGGGGGGGTCCTACTGTTCAGTGGGATCTGCCAGTGGTAACTGATGTTTGGGGTCAGGACGCTGCCCCTCTGCCTGAGTCTGGCCAGCTCTCTGGGAGCAGTCCTGCCTCTGGGAAACCCCCCCCAGCTCTTGGGTTAAGGGAAGCAGGCTTCACTGCACCGACCGCTGGCTGTTCCTGACGCAGACCCCAGTCCTGCCACCCAGTTCTTCCCATGCCTGCCGGATCCACACGTGGTCCTCCACTGGCCGGTCTTATCTGCTACCATCTTTCTTGTCCCCAAGGTGCCCGCTCCTTTCATCAAACAGAATCACCCGAACTTCCCAGGACTTGTAAAAGAAGGGCTTGCTGCCACTTCTCAGCTAGAACTCTTGGAAGTTCTTTAACTTTTTTTTTTTTAAATAGGTAACACATTCACATAGTTCAAAATTCAAAAAGTACAAAGGGTGTCCCCCTGTAACCCAAGCAGCTACTCTATCTAAAGGGTAACCAATCACTTGTGAATCTTTTCAGAAAATTTTTGCGCGTATACAAATAACATGTGGGTTCTTTACTGCATGTGTATAAAAGATGTACACATGTATACCTTCTTTGATGCACATTGGAGTCATGATTTTATATGTTTTCTTCAACTTACAGTAAATGTTAGAGATCATCATAAAAGAACTGTTTATTCTTTTTTAATAGCAGCTTAATAGTCTATTGTACGGTAGATCTACACACCTTGAAAATTAAAATCTGAGTTTCCTTAAAGTTTGCTTTTTAAAGTCTCCACTCACTCAGAGAAAGAAAATGGAGTTTTTCAAGATAGGAGAGTTAACCCTGCCCCTGTGAGTAGCCCCAGCAGTGGTATCCTGAGATTGAAACCCAGGTCTGTCTCATGACTGCTGCTTTTATTTACCTCTTCCCACTGAAAGGCACCTGCTGTCAGCATTACTTTGGCTTTCCACCCACTTGCAGCTGTGATTTAAAGGTATCACCAAGGTTTCTTTTAACGCACAGCACGTGTCAGGAAGGCTGTGGTTTTGATCTTTCTGTACGGTCCCTCCAGCCCCATCCGGTGCCTCTGGTCCACCTGTTTTCTCAATGCACGGCCGTGTCCGGTGGGCTGGGCCACCTGTCTAGAGAGGGCTCAGGTGTGGGCCAGGCGGGGGAATGGAAGTCCTTGCCTCCTGTCCTGGCAAGTCTCCAGCAGCATGCCTCCTTCTCTCTCATAGCTCAAGGGTCACAGCGAGAAACTGGACAAAGAGCAGACAGCCCTCGAGAAGATAGAGGCCAAAGCCGATCCGAGGTAGGAGACCTCAACACGTGGGATTTATTTTCTCTGTGAGTGTGGCTGGTGGGTGGAGAACAGGGCTGAGGAGCCCAGGTCATGGCTTCTGGCGCCGTTCTGCCAGTTACTTCACCGCTGATCCTGATCCGGGGCTGCCTTCTTCCTCTTCCTCCCACTTCCCCCTGGGTCAGGAGCAGCTATATTTTGTATTTTGTTTTGTCTGTTTTCTCATTTTTAGAAAGTAAGTAATACATGCAAGGTTCAAAAGACATACACTGAAAAGTCTTCTCCTGCCCCTGGCTACCCAGTCCTTCTCCCTTGGAGTCGACCATGGTTGCCAGGTTTTAACAGCACTGATCTTACCCTGTCCTTCAAGAATGAAAATGTCGTCTTTTTTTGCCAACACTGGGTTTTGGGTCATTTTTTTAAATTAATTGTCTTTAGACAAATTAAATATAAGCATTTACATTTACATTTTAAATTTTAAATGGGAATTAAAATTACAATTCTGTGCTGAGTCTTCAGTAGTTGGTATCATTAAAAATATACAGTAATCTCAAAACACATTGATGTTTCTGCAATTGATTAATTCTGGATTCTATAACGTTTGTTTGAATGTGACCTGATGGACTCAGCTTGTAGATGAATAATAATGTCTGTTAAATGGTGGTCGTTATCATTGGTGGGAAGCCCATTAGACACTCTTGGAAGAGACAAAGGAAATTCAGAAAAAAGTTCCTTTTTCCTAGGGTCTTGGTTTTAGCTGTGATTCATAAAATCATAGTGGTTTGTTGACAGTCAGTTGTTTTTTGGTCTTTTCAGCATCCTGCAGAACTTGAGAGCCCTTGTAGCCATGAATGAAAATCTGAAAAGCCAGGAACAGGAGTTTAAAGCACATTGTCGAGTAAGTGTTGCTCGGTGTCATCAGATGTTAATAGAGATTCTCGGACAGTCTCCTGCTTTCCCTCCCCTCGTGTTGCTGGGGGTCCTCTCCAGGTGTGATAGGAGGTCCTCTCCAGGACCTCCAGGCGGGCACGCAGTGGTGTGTGAGAGGAGTAGAGTGGTATGATAAAGTGATCGGAGGACACCAGAGATGCCTTGGAGGAGTAACTCTGTGTGCCAGACCCCAAACTGAGAGCACATTCTAACAATGTTTTCTAAAATACAAATGTATTTAAAAGAAAAGTTCTACAAAGGGCGTAGTATCTTATGAAACCAGGGCCGCCCTAAAATCCTGACATGTCTCTGTCACAGGGTCCAAGAGTGGGAGTGATAATGTGCACAGGTGACCATGTGGGAGACGGGAAAGAGGGCTGGGTTTTGTGAGTCCGGGGTAAGAGAGGCTGTCATGGCCTGGGAGCCCTCTGGAAGCTATATCTGACTTAAGCAGGCGAGGGTGGCAAGTGGAGGAGGGCTGGACGAGGCAGCACTCCAGGCTGGAGGGTCCCAGGAAAGCTGGAGAAGAGCTGAAAAAGAGGAGGCTTGGGACCGACTCTAAGCCACTCATTCATTCCACGCCCCAGTGATTAGTACAAGCCTCACCTGCCCTTTGGGAAGAAAGAGCCCTTCTGACGGAGGTACGGCTGAAAAGACGTTCCCAGGCTGAAAATCAGGGGCCCGGGGGGCAAGTTCTCTATGGACTTCTTGTCCCCACATAAACTCACAAAGTATGAAAATGAGATTCTAGATCAAGGTAAGTCATTACATCTAGTTACTAGCCTGTCCAGATCTTGTAAATGTTTGTATTACTTTTAAAGGAGGAGATGGCACGGCTGCAGCGGGAAATCGAAAGCCTGAAGGCTGAGAGGGCGCCAGGCAGAGATGAAAAGGTACGGGCTGTGGAGTGGTGCTCCAGGCTGCGGGGGCTGTGTGACGTCCACCATGGAAGGGTTTCTAGAGGACTCACCAGCAGAGCCTGGT